AGGATAACATCCAGAAAAGGGAGAAGAATCGGAGAACCCAAGGACGGTTCATGTAAACAGCTCGGACGTGTAATAGGTGCATTAGGCCTTTCAAGGCGTTATGGAGAGATCCCAAAGATGTCATAGCGATTTCCAAGATGCCACAGTATAAACCGACTTCAGCGGCTTGAGGTCATTGAGAAGAAAGGTTCTATATGACGATCCACGAATGGGATCACTTACTCAGTAACACCGTCTCGCACAGCAAAAAGCAGACCATGGTGAGCCTACAGCGTAGGTAGCAATATTAAGCCCGGGGTTGCAGTCGAGGGACCGCGTAAAAGATGACCTTGACAATATGTATATCACCTGAGGCAAGTGTATACCAGTCCTGCGCAGTAGTCGTAGATCAACCCGAAAGTGGGTCACAATATCCCAAAGGACAATCTACAGGAGGTTGTGTGAGCGTTTACACATCCCCGCCACCCCAGATCGAGACGGACTCACTGTCAGCGAGCCAACCACTAGGTAGCACAAGTGAGATCTTTGTGACGTTAAGAGTGGTTGGAGGGATTGATCTTTGGTCATGGCACTATGCTCGAGTCCCGGGCCTCATTGGCTTGAAGAAAGGCAAAGGTATTTATATCGGAGTAGCACATGGCCAAAGATGCTGTACGATCATCGTAATCCATGCCACCCGTCGCCGCGATGTTGCAGTCAGAGGAATCTGGTGGGTCACAGGGACATCAGCAATCAAGGAAGCAGATGCTAGTACAGGCTGTAGAGATATCTTGAGATGTTTCCAAGCCTAGTATGGGGCCCTGAACATCCAAACCGACTGTAGTAGAACGATGAAAAGCTCGGTTAAGCAGCGGGATAAGTACTTACACTTCGCACCGCGGCAGTTCTGAGTAGGACCGCGCTGTGTATCTAGCTAGCTAGCTGGTGAGGAACAACCTCACGCCCGGTGACGCCGGATCGAACGCAAGTAGGGCATCGCGGCCATTGGCATTTGCTGTACGTCCTGCCGTTGAGATACATCACAGGGTGAAACGACAGAAGATCGCCAACCGGTAGATTTGTAAATTCGCCAAGAATTGTCCAAAGAAGAGGTAGCTGACCCACGGAAAAATCAAACCCACTGTTGTGTCCGATGTTGAAGATGATTGATGTTCTTTCAAATAGCAGACCAAGGGACTGGATTGAAGGAATCGAATCGACCAAATCCCCAAGCGTTCATGCTCTCCCAAATCCTCTTCAATCTCCTCTATTGTTTTGCATGATTTCCAGCTTCTTGAACTTCGTCTTGTTGATGGGGCTTCTCGACTCATCGAGAGAATGCAGGTTCTATGAAAACAAGGATTTGACTCGTAACACAGGCGTGGAAGTCCTTGTGTTTTCTTCAATCTCGCGATAGTAGAGCAGCACCCACCTACAACGCAAAAAAAAGAGAGGAGAAAAAGAAGAGGACACCGCTGAGCGTAGGAATCTGGTATCCCTCTTTTAGGGGGGGGGGGCCATTTAGGCACTCGTCTGTTCCTGGGCCCCAAAGTCAACTCGACGCCCCCACCGCTTCTGATTTCCTTTCAAGCTCTCGACGTCCAATACTCTGACTCCGTGGATGCAGGGCTTTCGAACACACCTCGAGCCAAAAAGGTTTAGGGCAGGGATTTGGATGTATTCTCGGGGTCAGTTCGTATATTTTCCGAGCCGAGGGTTTCGCTTTTTTTCTTCTTCTTTCTTCAATATGATTCTTGATTCTTGAATTGTCTAAGTATGTATAACGCCCTCCAACCTTCGAGTTCCAAGATCTAAAAGTCTAACAAGCAAGCAAAAAAACCGAATGTATGTATGTATGTAGAAATGCGACAACGACGGACGACAACAATTAGTATAAAACAGCGAGTCAAGTAGGTAAAAGAGTTTATCGTACATAAAGAAAATTCGTTCCGAGTTCCAAGGTTCCTAGCGAAAGCGGAGAGAGAAACCGATGTAGAGTGTAGAGTGTGGTGTGTAGGGGTGCAGAGAAACGTGAAAAGGTATGGGGTAGGAGGGCAAGAGGTAGAGATACATATCGTTAGTCGTTAGATGAATGAAGAAATCGGGAACTTATGCAAAAAAACGTAAATGCGTAAATGCGTAAAATGTAATGTATATCCAGGGGGGCAGGGCAGGGCAAGAAGCAAGAAAGAAGCAAGCAAGCAAAAAACGGGCCGGACGACGGACGATAAAACCCCAAAACAGCACCAAGGAAGATATCACATAGCAAACAAAACCCCACCTCCGTTTCCCGTTTTAATCACAACCGCACCATCGGCGTCTTCCTCTTTACCATCCCCCTCATCATCGTCGTCTTCCTCCTCCTCTTCCTTCTCATCATCATCATCTTCCTCCTCCCCCTCGCGTAGCCAATCCCCCATCCCCATCCCCGCAAAACTCCTCTCCATCCTCGGCGCAGTAAGCCCCCTCCTAACACGTTCACCCTCATTCAAATCATGATCGACATCCCAATTCCGTTCCGGCACCCACATAGGAGTAGAGGGTGAATCCATAGAAAACGTCGGTGCCCGTGGAGGAGGTGCGGGTGCGTATGGGATCGTTTCACCTACCGGAAGCGTTGAGTGTGTAAAAGGAGGAAGAGAAGGGGGAAGAGAAGGAGCAGGGGGAGGAGGAGGGGGAAGAGGGAGAGTACGTCTCCTCAACGCGGCTGTGAGTATTCGAGTGTGTTCCATCTCTCTTAGAAGGAATTCTCTGTCTGTAGTGGGGGGAGGGGATGGGGGTGGGGGTGGATGCCAATTTCGTAAGGGTCCGTCTTCTTCCACTCTTTCTCTTTCTCTCGGTGAGGGAAGAGGGAGAGGAGGGAGAGGAGGGGAATACCAATTAGCCGCAGTAGTCAGTGGTGGGGTATTCTCATCCTCATCCTCGTCTTCGTCTTCTTCCGACGAATCAGAATCCGAATCAAGCCCCCAACCACCACCTCTTTCGTCGTCAGAGCTGTCGTCGTCGGTATCAGAAACGTCACGGAGAGCAGGCATCGTTCGCCATGGGTCTTCTTCCTCTTCCTCCTCCTCTTCTTCTTCTTCTTCCACGGGTGGTTCTGATTCGGGTTCTTCCCCACCATCAAACAACACACCCAACCCCAACCCCAACTCAGACTCGAGCCCAAAACCAAAATCAGGCTCGTCGATCTCTTCGGTAGGTGTCCCAACGAAGCCGACCCAGGGGAGACCTAGAGCTCGTGTGACTTCGGGGTCTGGGTCTGGATCAGAGGAGGAGTCGAACGGAGGTTGGAGTTGGGTTTGGGTAGGTGTCAATGAAGAATCCGACATGGGAGACGAGGGAGATGGCGGTAACACCAAATCTGGCGTCGGTAACGTAGGACTCGCGATAGGAATAGGTATCGTCGGTGTAGACGGTGACTCCCCCTCCTCCTCCGTCTCTTCGCCAACACCAATCATCCTCAACACGTCCTCCGCTCTCCTCAACGAATCCTCCACCTCGTTTTCCCCGACTCGCATTCTCCGTCTCGGTATCGGTCTCGATCTACTAACTAATGGAGAGTCAGACGGAGGAGGGGGAACGAACACGGGAGCTCCAGGTGTCGTCCGTCGGAGAAAGTCAGCCAAGATATCTCGATCTCGGGGTTCCCGAGACTCTAGGAGGGGGATCGTATACGCAGAAGTAGTGGTGGCGGTGGTAGAAGTGGAGGAGGTGGAGAAATATGAATAGAAATGAGGACGTTGGACGGGTGCGGGTGTGGGTGGCATCCATAGGCTCGTTCGTCTTCCCCATCTTCCGAAATCGGTGTCGGTTTCGGGCGGTGGTGGTGGGTTGGCGATGGGGTTGGGGTTGGGGTTGGGGTAGGCGACGGCATCGACGACATCGGCAAAAAAAGTATATTCGACGTATGCTTCGTCTCCGGAATCTTCTTCTTCCTCCTCGTCGTCATGTAACCTAGATAATGTGAAATCCAAAGCAGCCGTCGTCGTCGTTGTGGTCGTTGTGGTTCGCGAATGATGTGAATGAGCATGCCTAGCAGCACGACAGGGGCGAAATCGCGTTCCTATCGGTGTACCACTACAAGAAACAAGAAAATCCTTGAGCTCAGAGAAACGAAACGAACGAAAGAAAGAGAGAAAAGACTAACCAACTCTGACACCCAACCCCCTCAGTGATACACCCACACGCGTTCTTTGACAGCACGCATGGATCTTCGTTAATATCCGTAAAGGGGTCTTCTGGCCGTTTATGTGAAGGGTCAAAGTAACTGTAACCGTATTCGTGTTCGAACTCGGTGGAGTACATGGGTGAGGGCGGGTATGGTGAACGGGGGTCTTCGGGTCGTGGCACTGGTTGCACTGGTTGTTGTTGTCGGAAGTAGACAGCATCGAGGGGCACGACGAGGGATGTAGGTTTATCTGTGGACGTGTATGAATGGGAGTCGGTGGGGGTGGTGAAGGCGGAGAGGTGGATGAGCGCTCCACACCCTCCGCCTCCGAGTTGCTTCGCTTTGCCCTTTGAGGTGGAGGTGGGGTTTGTGGTGGAGAACAAATCTGGTCGAAACGGCTCGTCTGACCATCCCTGTCCTTCTCCTCCTTCTCCTGTCCCTGTCCCTGCGTCTTCCCCTCCTCCTCCCCGACAAAAGAGCCTATAAACGACACTCCCACCCGTACTCGTACTCGTGCTAGAGCCAACACTAGCCACCCTCTGATGACTAGACCTAATAGCTCCTCTCCTCCTCAACCTCGACGCCTCCCCCGTCCGCACCAAATCAGAAAGAACAATCGAATCATCTGCGTCTCGTATCGTGGGTCGTGGTGGTGGCATGGTTGTAGGTCGTGGTTAGGGTGATAAATCAGAAAGTCGTAAACGTGCCAGCCATCGAGGCAGAGTTATGTACAGTACGCCCGCCGTCGTTCTGTTTCCTGTGTCATGATGACAAAGCTTTTGGCTCCGGTCAATTCAATTCGGTGCGTAAGGCGTAAGAACACAGGACGCCGCACGCCACATGACCTCATACGGCCCGCCTAGCTCAATCGGATAGAGCGTCAGACTTTTATTACAGGGTGGCTGGCATAACTGGAAATTGGAAATCTGAAGGCTGCGAGTTCGACTCTCGCGGTGGGCTATTGATCATTCCGACTGTCTTTTTTTCTACTCAAGTATCAGTCAGAGGCCCTGAGGCCTGATGAGCGAGAAAGACTCGTGCGATGGCTTTTCCTTTCGTCTCTGTATCTGTACCTATTCACCTTAGTAGTGACTGGACCTCGGCCATGTGCATGAAATCTCGTACCAACTCCACTAGCGTGTGTGTGGACGGCGAAGATCCTCAAAATGAAAATATGTCAGTATCTCCTATCATAAATTGGCGTGGAATTGAGTAAGCCTAGTGCGGTTTAGGGTTGGACGCGAAGGCCCGGGAATTCGAGGTGATCGTATTGACGACGAATTTTTTTTGCAAGCCTGAGTGTACCGGAATCCGGAATCCCAAAAGACCTCAGTTGAGTTCAGAGTAGGTGATGAAGGCGAGTATGAGAGATGACCGGAACCGTACGCGAACCAATGAAAGGTTTAATTGACTTGCCCCTCAAGTCTTCACGAACCTTGACAGAGAGAGAGAGAAAAAAAAACGGTTATTCATTCAAAACGACCGTCAACTGTAGTCTGTGTTGGAGGAGAGACTTCCCGAGGAGGAGAAAGAATACGAAACGCCAACTTTGTACTAGCTATTCCACAAAGGTCCGAAGAGGGCAATGTTACTAACTTAACTTCGATATGAGGAAGATCTCCCGCCTTTGTAATGGACGTAGGCTTGCTGACCACTGACCAGCACGCTACGACCGTGGTTGCGAAGGTTTAATAGGCGGGAAGATTCTGAGATCCTGATCATGACACATCGAGGCAAACCCAAGTACGGTGCTATCAGAAATCAAAAACACCTGCCGTGCGGGAGGCGGGAAAAAATGAAGCGGTGCGCGATGGGATTTGGGAAGATATTAACCAGTTACCAGAGGCCTCGTCGAGTTCCAACTCCCGAGTTGCAACGGATGTCCGCGATGTCCGAAAGGGTATAAAGTAGGTCTGTGTTGTCGACCACTACGGCTTATCTCGGGTGCAGGGCGCCTGTATTTTTTTTTATGATCCAGGATCCTGAATTTTCCTACAATCCAATCTCTCACCGATTCATGCTGAGTACAAAACACCTTCAACTCAGAGAGAGAGAGAGAGAGAAAAGCTCGATGGTTTAGTTGTATCGATTTTATTCACGTACCATTCATGACCGAGTCTCCGTCACCAGGCAATCGAAACAGGCGGGTTTGTATCGGTGCATATGCATTTTAGGGGGGAGGGAATGGGTTGGGTGTTAGTGTAAGTACTCACAATTTCCAGCATTGTCAGCCTTGGTTGTTGTGTCCTGGAGATATTTGGCGAGGGAAGTAGTACTGGTGGTGCTGGTGACCGGAGCGGCTAGGGACATAGACTCAAAAGTAGGAGTTTGTGGCCCGGGGTCGCTGTCACTGGTCAGCCTCGAATGGAGGAAAGTTAAACCACCCGAGTATGAAAGCTAGATGTTGAGCAATGAGCATGACCATCACAGGGAGAAAAAAAGAGACAGAGGGCGAGGGCTCCTGGCCTAGAACTTAAAGCTTGAAGGGTTGGCACAACGTTGGAGGGCACACTTTATACTTCTTTTTTGGGCGCCACCACTGCCGCCTGCGTCGATTCCCATTACTCATACTCGACTCTTTCCTTTCATTCGAGTCATGCCAGGTCGAACATTCAATATTCAGTGATCAACCACTTCCACTTCCTGATCTCACACCAGTATCTCTTGGCATTTAGCCAACCTCCCGTCGCAAAAAATTCATACCACCAACGCTCGTCGCTCGCCGGATCGTCTTCTTTTGAATTTTCTCCGCGGGGCCGCCGCGAATCATCAATACTGTGTGCCGCGTGCGAAGTTTCTCTCCTACACATCCCATCGAAAACGTACGCGTGTGTGTGGACCGTGGACGGCGAAGATCCTCAAAATAAAAATATGTCAGTGCTCATATACATATCTCCGGCGTGGGATTTGGACTCAACGTCGGTGCGGTAACCGGTTTGGGGGCCCGGACGCGAAGGGAATTCGAGGTGTGAGTGGTATCGACGACGAATTTTGAACAAGTACTGGCATAACAATAGATATCGATTTTCCGTGTAGTCGTACTCTGTCTTCCACAGTCCACGACATCCTTAAGGCCCCTTGAGCTATTCCGAACAGGCAATGTTTACTGTTACTGACTTCAATATGAGGAAGATCTCCCGCCTTTAAGGCTTGCCGACCAACACGCTACGACCGTGGTTGCGAAGGTATTAGTACGTAGTTTAATAAGCGGGAAGATTCTGTAATCCTGATCATGACTCAACACAAACCCAAGTACGGTGCTATCAGAAATCAAAAACACCTGCCGTGCGGGAGGCGGGAAAAAAACGAAGCGATGCGCAATGGGAAGATATTAACCAGTTACCAGAGGTCTCGTCAAATTCCGACTCCCGAGTTGCAACGGATGTCCGCGATGTCCGAAAGCGTATAAAGTAGGTCTGTGGTGACCACTACGAACTTATCTCGGGTGCAGGGCGCCTCCCCGTCCTTCAGTTGTTTTTTTTTTTTTTTGAGTCTCCGAGTCTCTTTGGACGGTTCATGGACCATGGTTCCTCATAATCTCAACATCACAGTTCGGCTCTTAATCCTTTTGATAGCCTTCGTCCTGATATCAACCGGTGAGTAGAATCAGAATCAGTTATTCGAATTTTGTGGGGGTAGTACATACATATATTAACAAGTTTCCAAGCCCTCCCAATCCAGGATGATGATGCCGGCCTTGGGCCAGCGGGATCGACACATAGCAACTCTGAGCCTCGACAAAATTCTAATATCGGTATGATAGACTCAGTCTCTGCATCAGATTCACAATGTAAAGAACGCTGTAAGGTGAGCCGTAATACATGCCGCCACACACAAAAAAGTCCCCTCTACTCACTACCATTCATATAAAAGGACAAATTCAAATTTACCGCTTGTCTCGCCTGCACGTTGAGGAGCCAAACATCCCGGGGGAACACACGCACACGCACACTACTGAATATTAATACATACGAAGCCACCATGCCTAGAGCCAGATCATCTCACGTTAGCATTGTGGGTTGGGGTTTGTTAGTTGCTGTAGTGTTGTGGGTGGTTGGGAAGTTGACGGTCTTTATTTGTACATGAATAAACTTTGTATCTATATACCGTGCGCTCACTGCTGGGGGAGTGTAATGATGAATGTTAAGTTAGAAGGTTTTTTCGCATCAGCTCAAGGCATACTCAGAAACTTGAGAAACCGCAGAACCCCTCCACTTACCGACGAGACTCCTCCGTATCATTTGAGGGTGGTGCGTGGGAAAACAGACAAGCATGGATCCCGAATGATTCCCACGCGAGCAACTCTTTTTTTTCCCCTCCACAGCTCCTCTAAATGAGATCGCACCACCAACACCCACCCTTGAGCGACGTCCTATCTTCCGTTAACTACCCCTCAATCTCTCATCGGTTGCGAAAGAAAATTTTAGAATTTGACATCCTCCTCTCAAACTCAAATGAAAAGTATCATTCATGTCACGTCGGCATGAGCTGCTAAGACTTCCTTCAGGTTGCACCGTGACAGTTGACTCGTCTACAAGTTTAGCGATGCATGATAGTTGTATCCTTACTGGACCGCTCTGGTCCAGGAACGTCGTCCTGGGACCTGGGGCTATCCAATCCGTGGATGCCTGGTGATGCCAACAGAGTGTTGCGTCCCATCTGTTGGTTTTTGGATCTAGTTTGCTCTTTGCCCCGTTTGTCCGGGCTAGCGTTGCCATCGGTTCGGTTAAGCGGTTTCCGGAAGACTAACAGTTACACTAAGTCCCACCATTGACACCACTCTGGCAGTTCGCTGATATAAAGCTCTCGGCCAGTAGATAAGCTCGCGAAAAAGAAAGACCCAGCAATCTCTCATGGCAGACCAAGAATTCTCTGACTCTGGATTTCTCTTGCAAAGGCAATACCTCTGTAGCGTCGTCGTGGGCTGTTTGGCAGTGCGTGATTCTTTCCTTTCTTTGGAATGGGTTGAATGATACCTTACATACCTTCAGATTGTCCTTTAGGATATCGCAACAAATTTACAAGCTGATTTTAGACTAATGATGAAAACTGGGATACATCTGCCTCAGGTCTTATACGTACTATCAAGGTGAGGGCTTACATGATCCTTTGGGGAGTTGCTCTTGACCAGTATGCTCCGCTGCAGGATCACAGTACTTGCCATGCTGATTGGCGAAACCATGCTTCTAGGTTGGTTGTCATGATCCAAAAGCTTAAGGTGCATTGTACTGTGTACACTGACTGTCTTTAACTCTGAGGTTCGCACAACGGCACACACTGTAGGGTTCTCAACACGGCTATAGCATCACTGGCTTCAGTTCATTACACACTGATTGGCCTTCTGAACTTGCTCCATGTTCAGGCACTGTACCATAACCATTTACTGGCTATGCGGCTATATACCCTACTCTGGATAACTTCCTCAGGGGCCTCAATTGGACTTATGTCCTTCCTCATGGACGGAACTACCATTGCTGAGAACACCTGCATGCACACCAAGCCAAACATTGCCATTCTGCTGGCTATTTCAGCCATTTACACTTTGCATGGCACATGTAATTTTGTTGCGGCTAGCAGGACCCTCACGCTCTTTTCTACGGACCCTCATCTACAACCAGCGAGAGAAATTGGTCTCATCCAGCAATTGAGAGTTTCAATAACAGCAAAAGACGTTCCCAAATTCTCAAAGACCCTGCTTTGTCAAAGTCAATGGGATTTCATGTGAGCAAGAAACCTTTGACTCTACAATAACTTGATTATCTGATATGCGTTTAGAGTATGTTATGGACCTGCAATCTCCTTGTCACCATCGGAATTGTGATTGTCACAGCCCCCATTGCATTTCAGGTTGGCATCCTGGTTTTTGGGACTACTGTTCGACATTGCAGGCACTGTTCTACCTTTAGAAACAAACCCAAAAGTAGGTCATGGATGCACACGAGGAACAGTGATTTGATATT